ATGGTAAACTTTGCTTATCTGGGTGATGATTGCTGGTGATTGCTTGCTGGTGAGGCGATCTTCTGGTCTTTTATCTCTTTTGAATAGTATGTAGATGCTGTTTATCTCTATGTGTTTGTTAACTGCTGCCTTGTCTGAATACCAAGCTTCCAAGAATTCTCTTGCATATTTGGATTTGGCTTGGTCTAAAATGCTGACAGTTTCCCAGTTAAAACTATGGTTGAGTCTGAACCAAGCTCAGAGAACCCCAAGGACTCCACAGTTCAACCCTGAGCTACACATATTCACCTCTATTGGTACTCTTCCATCTTCCTCCGTCGCTCTACTGAGTGAGAACTCCCCACATTTGTTTCCAAGGGGAGAGGCGACAGCAAACAGTCAGTCCTCAGGTGCTAAATCCTCTAGCCTTAATTCTGTCCAGAGAGCCAAATTCAGGCCCAATGTTGAATATCAGCTTAATTGTTTGCACGTCCAGAGACTTCATTGTAGTTCGGGGACAGGATTCTCATTTCAGGGTTTTCCTAAGTTCCAGTGGAGATAAGAAAATTATCAAGCTATAGTTTCTATAATAATTTTTCCTCCCTACCTTCCTTCACAGCTTTTTGCAAGAAAACAGAATTCAGTCAATCTCTAGCTCTGCTTTTGCTGGACTAAACAAGCTCCAGAGGCTGTGAGTAAAAGAACTGGTTCTTGGGGTGGGCAAGGTTGGAGAGTTTAGATTGCTAAGCAGCCTCAGAGCTTAGCTGCTCTGAGCCTGCCCTGGAAATCTGGGATAGTAAGAAAAAGCATCATGCCCTTTCCTTCTGAATTAGGCATAACAGTCTTCCAGGTGTGTCCCTACAAATGCTTGAATGTTGTAGGATCCTCCTGGAAAAGAGACAAAGACAGGTCACCTGGTGGCCCTGGTAGTTCAAAACCTGGCAGAGATTTTTTTTTTAATTACTATTTTTCACTACCTGGGCTTCCTACTTTTCCCTGTGCTTTTCTTTTTAAGTCCAGCAGTATGTCATTTCATCGTTTTTCCAGGCACCAGAGGTATAAAAGTTTCACCCCCAGCTTCCAAACAGCTCATAGTGACTGCCTTTTCCCTATATGGAAGTAAATATTGTATATTGTCTATAACAACTTCAAAAGCAGTTGAAAATCCACTGGATCTACAATCTGCTTCAAAGCCTGATGTGTTACAATTCTTCAAAGTAAGTTCCTGCTTTGATCTGTGACTGTCCTTTGATGGAGTGATCAGGGATGTCACGTGGTGGGAGGCATTAAGAGTGTCAAAACGGTGGATGATTGAAGCCCACTCCTTTTTAATAAATTTCACCCATTGCATGCATGTAAAAAGTGTTGCACCCATCATTTTGATGCTTTGATGCCCTCCCCTGGTATTGATTCAGTCTAATCTTTCTTGCTTTAAAGCAGTCTTTACACCTAGCTTTGCACATACTTAGTAAGCATATTCTTAATGTGCCCCAACATCTATTGAATGGACTGTCATCATTTTCTCTTTGACTTTTACCTTAGTTTCCTTATTTTCTTTGTAAAACGTAAAGAAGAAAATGTTTTCTGAAATATCCTCAAAATGCTGATGAATCCCTTGTAAGGGTTCAGAAGTGTGTAAGGTGATAGATGAGGCTAGGCTGGGCTGGGCTGGGCTGGGCTGGGCTGGGCTGGGCTGGGCTGAGCCAAGCCAAGCCAAGCCAAGCCAAGCCAAGCCAAGCCAAGCCAAGCCAAGCCAAGCCAAGCCAAGCCAAGCCCAGCCAAGCCAAGCCAAGCCAAGCCAAGCCAAGCCAAGCCAAGCCAAGCCAAGCCAAGCCAAGCCAAGCCAAGCCAAGCCAAGCCAAGCCAAGCCAGGTGTGCGAGTACTCTGAAGAGCTGCTCAGTCTGATTCCCCCGTGTTCGCTTCCAGTACTGCCTGGGCTCTGTCCCTGAACTGCTTTTCTAGCAGCAGGATCCTCACCCAGCTCAGGTACTTGTGTTGTGCTGGCAAATCCTGATTTGGAAAAAAACAGTCTCTTTCAAATCAGATGCCACAATGATACCACAAAGAACATTTCCCATAGGACTTGCAAGAGGACTGAACCATGACACTTGGGGTATTAACAAACACCAATATAAGCTGTGCTAACAAGAACAAATGCCTCTTTCTTCTTCTTTCTTCCTGTTTCAGTTATCTGAGTTCCAACCACATTGTTTATCTGAAGCCTCACATCTTCCGGGACTTGCACAATCTCAAATGGCTGTAAGTACATCTTCCTGGTTGTAGCAGTAGTAATACAGCAAGTAGGGAAGCCATTTCCTCACACACTGTTGAGCTAGACTTTCACTTTAATGTCCAACCATTCCCAAGGGAGAAGGCACAGTGAAGAGAAGACATATATGTAATGTGGTAACAGTCAAGGAAAGTTTTCAGTGTTCCATATTCCAAAGCAGCAGAAATAAGGGCTATCTTCATCAGAAGCATCTCAGGTGGAAGGAGCAACAGATTTGATGCTCATGAAAAAGAAAACTTGATTTGAATACCCAAAGGACTCTGTCCCTTATTCTTTCCAGGAGGAATTTTGTTCTGTATTCACTGTTGAGACAAAGAGAGAGACCAGTCCAGCCCCCTCCCATCATGACAGCATAGCCTCAGCTACAGCAAGGAGCCTTATAAAGCCCCACTTCTTCCTCTAGAATCATAATGTTGGAAGGGAGTTATTGGAGGTCACATGCAGTTGCCATTCACCCCATAGTGGGGCATTCCTGATCGGGAAGGAAACAATCTCTCAGTTTTGCTTTCTCCATCCCGCATTCAATATAGTCTTTTAAAATAACAAATTACTTCCACTGCCTTTGTAAAATAACAAATAAAAATGATATTAGACTCTTATTAAAAGCAAATGCATGACATTCTTGTCCAGGTGCCACTGAAATATCCTTGCAGAGGAGAGACTGTCACCTGCTAGGACAGCCCGTTCTATGATTGAGTGTTCTTGCTGCCTGGGAGTTTCTCCAAATCTGTCCTGGGACTGTTTCCACCTGTAGCTTTGCACATGTCCCTTTAGCAGCAAAGAAAGGCTTTCCCACTTCTTGTGGGGGTCCTTCAGATCCCGGGGCTGCTGTGCCTTCACTTCGTCTTTTCTTTCCGAGGCAAAATAGCCCCTCTCCTCCTCAAGTTCCTGCCGGACAGCCCAGCGCTGCAGCGTGGTGGCACGATTTGCTCGGTTACGCGGGCCACTTAAGGCAGCATCAGAAGTCTCAGCCAAGCGTTTTCTAGGAACTGGAAAAGCAGAGCCTCCATCTCTCTATGGTTAAGGCCTAAAAGTTGCTGAAGGAGAAAAAAGTGTTACTGTGATACCAGTTTTTGAGGGCTACAGTCTCTCCCCTCAGGCTGCAGAGGAGCACAGAGACAGGAGGGTATTTTCCCAGGACTGATCGGATGGGGAAAACTGGCAGGGAAGGCACGCAAAAGAAGATGCAGCAACTCCTTTCCCACTAGCACCAACTCTAGCTCCAACTATATTCTATCCCATTTTGTAGAAAGAAATGCCCCCTTTTTGATCCTGTTCTTCTCAATTCTTTTTCTCCTTAGAATCCTTGATAACAACAACATAACGAAGATCTTTCCATCTGTGTTTGCGGGGCTGAAATCTTTATTATTTCTGTAAGTCTGGAGCAGATCCATAAACATTTTGCACACCAACCATGTCTAGTGGCACCCTTTTCCTCTTCCTCTATTCCAGACTCTCCTTTGTTGCTCAGGATAAATATATAGGTGTTTTGGAATTACATCCATTTCTTAGAACATTTACTATGCAGCAAATAATATAATGCTTATATATTTGTGATATCCTGAGGGTGTATCATATCCTCAGTACTTGGAGTGTATTTCAGTGCACTTCCAGCATTCTGAATGTGTGTCAGTGCACTGCATACACCTCCTAATTGGTGATATAAGGGCAATAGTATTGCTGGCTTGCAAAGAAGTCTCTAGATGAGGGATCCTAGCCTGCATAGAATACTTGGGGCAAAATCTGACATTATCAATGCTTGTGGCATACAGTCCCCAGTGCACTGAAGCTGAAACTATCCTTCAGTGTGAGGGAATGCTCATGTAGCATGAACATGACTACGCCTGGCAACCTTTTCTATGTGTTCTCTCTATCTTACTAAAAAGTGTTAATGTGAAAGCCTTAATTGATCAAAATTATGATGAGTGGCAGAAGTTGATATCCATGGGCCCAGCTGGAGATGACCCTGACCCATGGAAGATTGTGGCTTTCGGAGTAAGAGGGACAGTTGGTAAAGAGCATGTATTAACAAATGAAATGAGAGGAGGAAAAGTAGTTACCCTGTGGGTCTGTGAAACTAAAAGGAAAGGGTAGGCTGTAATAGACTGGAAGTGGTCAGGAGAAGTGATTGGGCCAATCAGAGACCCAAGAGGGGGCCTGTATGGTGAGTGTCTGCTTAGAAAGGGTCTGAAAGTGGTCTCTTCGTAGGTATAGACAAGAGAGGAAAACTCAGAAGAGAAGAGCATGAGCGATTGGAAAGACCAAGAGGATTAGTAAAGAAGAGAGTGTGGGATTGAGCATTTCTTGATAGTGTCAAGAGCAGCACGTGGAAAAATACAGACTTTGAAGAAAGGGAGAAAGCAAAAGAAACTAAAGTGAAAGCAGAATGACTGCAGGAAGAGGAAGTCTTCTCTGTAAAAATATTACAAGATCTCTAAACAGAATGAATGGAAAGTGGGTGTGGAAACTGGAACAGAGTGAGACTGTTGTGTTACTCAGTGAGGCAGATGTGTGCAGAGTTGAGCTAATAGGAAGCATGAGAAAGGATATTTGGTGAAGTGTTAAAGTGAAAGAAATTGTTAGATGGGGTGTACAGACCAGATTTTTTTCATTGAGGAACCTACAGATACAAGAAAGAAAGTTTATCATACGTTTGTGGATTCAGAGAAAGTGTGTAGACCAAATAGGCTTGAATTATGGAACCTTTTGCATGAGTATGGAGGATGGATGTCTGTTCAGTGTGGAACGAGCAGGGAGTATTGTAAATCAAGCTTGCCTGAGAATAAACAACATTCTTTGTAAATGGTCCATCATTGAATAGGGAGTAAGTCCTCTTGATTGTTGAATATATTTGTGGAGAACTGTGCAAGGAAAGCTTGTGGTGGTGTTAGAGGTATATTGGCTAGGGACATAAACATATCCTTTTGCATACAGATGATGCTGGGTTGTTGAGTGTGTCCAAATAATTTGCAACAAATACTAAGTAGATTGTCTGGTGCAACAAGGAATGTGAGCCTGAAAATTGATGTATCAAGGATTAAAGTAGTTGTGTTTGATAGAGAAAATTGGACAATTGCAAGTGAAAGGCAAAAATCTAGAACAAGTACAGTGGAACCTCGGGTTACAGAACGCTTCTGTTAACGAACTTTTTGGGTTACGACCAGCTCCGGCTGCAAAATTTTGCTTCGGTTTGCGAACTCCGCC